GACGCACGACAGTCATTCCCAGAGACTTCTGGAAACTTCGGGCAACACTTAACAGTGGTTGGCCAACTGCCGGTGGTGATGGCTGGTGGGCAGTGGTGATCCTAGGTGGCCTACAATTTGTTTTAAATATAAGGGCATTATTGTTCAAAAACTTAATTAAATAAGGGTAAAATTGTAATGGCAGATTAATGTAAATTAATTTCAAAATAAGGGCATTATTATCCAAAAATTTTATTAATAAGGAATAAAATTGTAATAAAAATAAGATTACCTAGCAATCTTAAAATACCTAAGAAAATTGAGGTGATCAGATTACTAACAGTAACTACTATTAGTTATGGAAGACTATTGGAATCTTATATTACTTAATAATCAAACATAGTAATCAAGTAATAAAAGATGACATTACCTCAGTAATTGGGGATTACCCCCAACCTAAATGCCCTAAAGGATACTGTTGACTCTTTTTGTGCTCTGTGTCAGTGTGTTTTCACAATAGTTAATTATGGCATTATGCACAAGTTGATACTATTAAAATATCAATTTGGCCTGTTATCTTTGCTTTTGATCCATTGTGTTCTAAAATGTTGGGGAGTCCTGAGAGAAAAACTGCGATGTAAAGATGTGATCCAATTTCCTAAGCAACGAAAAGTCCGAGAGTAAGACTCGCGAGGGATTAGTCGGATGATTTGCTCCCACAAGGTCTCGGGTTCAAGCCTTCTCATGGACATTTGTGTAGCCAATAAAACCATACTTAACTACTTCCTAGCAATGGCAAGGTTTATTGGAGGCTCTAGTTTTGTATTTCTAAGGGTGAGTAGTTCCAAGTACCTTGCAATTTTTAGGAGAACCGGAACTAAAATTACACAATGTAGGTTCCCAACAAAAGGAACCGAAACTGAAACTTGTTGGTTCTGGTTTTTAAATTCATGGAACCGGAACTGGAACCTGAAATGCAGGTTCGGGTTCCTTACCTAGTAAAAATCAATTACCCCTATTAGTTTAAAAAATGAAAAAAAATACCTTAAAAGTTTACAAATACACCCCTAACAAATTAAGAAAACATGCATTTAGTAGTTTTCAACTTTTGACTACTCATTCTTTTGTATCCAATGTGACTCATAGATCCTCTAATCTCTAGGGAACACTTGAATTCAATCAATTCATCATAATTTATAATGTAATGTTATAATTAATTAAATTTGTAATCATTTAATTAAGTAATGTAGTAATGTAGTAAATTACTAATGTTTATAATGTAATGATATAATTAATTAAGTATAATGTTATAATTAATTAAATTTCTAATCATTTAATTAAGTAATATACTGATGTAGTAAGTTATTAATGTTTATAATGTAATGTTATAATTAATTAAATTTATAATCATTTAGTTAAGTAATATACTAATGTAGTAAATTACAAATGTTTATAATGTAAAGTTATAATTAATTAAGTAATCATACTATAAATCTATAATGTAATGTTATAATTAATTATATTTCTAATAATTTAATTAAGTAATGTGTTAAAATATTAATGTAGTAGATTACTAATGTTTATAATGTAATGTTATAAACTTATAATTAATTAACTAATCATTTAACTATAATATAATGTTATAATTAATTAAGTAATCATTTAACTATAATATAAGTTATAATTAATTAAGTAATCATTTAACTAATAATGTATTAATGTTTATCAATTTATCATATACAATTAATTGTAGATATACTTAGAACTTGATAATTGAACTAAATAACTAAATATTATTCAATCAAATATACTATTTTATTAAAAAAATAATTCTTTTAATAACATTAAAACACTTTTAATTGGATCATAATTCTAATTATATACTTAATTAATCAGAACTTTAATATTATAATATATTAAAGTTTTTTATATGTAAAAATTTTAATATATATATATAGTGAAGTATATATTACTTTATATTTGATTAGGTTATTATAATATATTAAAAAAATTTATATGGTGAAGTTTATATGTATAATTATATATATATTTAATTACGTTATTGTAAAAATTTTAATTTTTTATCTAACATGAAAAACACGTGTCAGTCCCACTTTATAATTTTTTATATGTAAAATTACTAGACCCCCCATTGTTTACAAATATTTTGTTTCAGTCCTAGGTTCCAATATAGGTTCCATATCGGGTACTTGACCTTGGTTCCAAGCAGGTTCCAAACCGAGTACCCGCTTCCAGTTCTCATCTCAGGTTCCGATTCCGATTCTGATTCCAGTTCCTCTACATGTAGGAATCGAAACCGAACTCACACAATGTTAGTTCCAAAAAAATTGTAACCGGAACCTATCTGCACAGTGTCGATTCTGGGTAGGTTCCGGTTTCGATTTTACCTGTAGGTTCCAATTCTACCCGCTACCCGTGCTTCCCCCTGTTGGACTTGTGAAGCAAATGTAAGGGATTTCTAGACAAAAAAATAATAATAAGAGTTTGAAAGTGAGAATCCTCTTAAGAATAAAAAGACCGAATCTGCTCGAATCATTCAGCATCCTGAAGAAAAAAAAAATAGCTTCAGGTTCTACCAAGGAGAAGTCCTCTACAATATAGGGATTGCTAACATTGATTGATAAATTCAGAAAATAGAAATTTCATGACCATTTGTTCATTAATTCCACCTCTAGCTCAGAAAATTCTAAATTATTACAAATATTTTCTTTCCACAATAAACTCTCACAATTGTCTCAGCACTTATTAAAGAGTACTCTTAAACAAGACAACAAAAGCCTTCAATAAATTTAAAAGATGATAAAAACAGTTTTACCTTCAATGATTAATTGACCAAATTTGAGCATATATACGACAATTAGTTTCAGAATTTTTAACTACGGAATTCCAGCAAACCATATAAAAAATAAGTGGAGACAGTTGTCCAAGATCACAATATTTCCCATGATAGAGAGAATTTCCTATAATAAGAAATTCCAGTCAACCCATCTAAATATTTTACCGCATCTTTGTATCAAAAGTTCTCTGAATATTTGGTGAATCTTCGCAAATCATCCTAATGGATAAGTCAAGATTAGTTTCATGAAGAAATAGGTCATCACTCATTCTTTGAGCCATTCACACTCTTAATAAAATGATCCATAGTTAGTGACCTTAAAAGTAGTTTGAACTGAAATATTGTCCTATTTCCCTTAATAATTTCTTTGCGAACCATTACTTTAAAATTGGAACAAGACAAAGATATTGACTTGACTTGGACAAAAGTTAATTGAACTTAAAAACTGTAGGAGTGGGCAAGTCCGAGTAGCCGCCCAAATTCATTGAACCAAAACTTGAAAAATAGGTTCCAATTTCGGGTATCCAGATTAATTTTAACTACCCCTATGTTTTTAAATAATAAATAAACTCTCTAAAAATTATAATACACACCCAATACTTTACAAAATTACAAATTCAGTCTCAGTTCCTACCTGAGTACCTAGATCTCGGTTCTAATTCTGGGTTCAATTTCGATTCCTGGTTCTTGATTCCTATAGGGGTGGAATTGGAACCAAAACCTTAGGTACCTGTCAGTTCAGATTCCAATTATGGTCGATTCTTTTGCACAACCCTCTTAAAAAATATCTAGGATCCAAAAACTACTAGTATAACATACAAACTCTGTGTGTGTGTGTATCAATTCAATAAGTACTCAATAAATGAGAATGAATAATAAGATTAAAAAAAAAGAGTAAAATAACATCAATTTATATTATATATATATATCAATTCAATAAGTACTCAATAAATGAGAATGAATAATAAGATTAAAAAAAAAAAGAGTAAAATAATATCAATTTATATTTTATTTTTATCTATAGCAATTTATAAGTTATGATTTTCTTACAACCCACCACAATTTTCGGAGTGTAGGGTTGGGTCCTATTATAAATAAACATTACTCTGATACCATGATAAATGGGTTTAGGTAAAACTTACCCCAAAAAACAAACTCAAAAAAGAAAAGAGTCTAACCACATATATATACCATAACAATCCACCAACTTATTGATATGAGACAAATACAACCTTTAACACATAACAAGCCTTGATTATCCTTTAAAAGCAGTCTAAGTGCTATACAAATTACAAGCAGGCAAAAAGTTGAAATAGCCAGAATACCACAAAAGCAAAAGCAAGATAATTATAGTAAACAAATAATAATAATATATTACTAGCACAACAGAGAATATTCTTTAAAGTGTCTATAAGAGAGCTCATCAATCGCAGAGAGAAAAAGCATTTTCAACACAACTTTCTCAAAGATATATAGAAAGAAACATAATAAGTTCATGAGCCATAATTGTTCCAGAAAATAACACAGTTACCGAAAGAAGCGCACCGAATTCATGCACCAAATGACGTGACGTAATTCTAACCGTCGATTAATTATGAATTAATATTAATCGACAGTCAGGATTTCGCCACTTCATTCAGTGTATGAATTCGATGTGCTCCTTTCAGTAACTGTAGTATTACTCATTTGTTCCTGCCTACAAAGATGGCACAAAACACCAAATTCTTGTCTTCAGGTTTTTTTTTTTTTTTTTTTTTTTTTTTTTCTTTGGAGCTTGTTTCAATATTTATTTTTAGCCGTTAATCAGGAGTTAAAGTTAACTGATTTTTATTTAATCTCCCACCTTTTCAGAATCCTGGTGAGCCGGGCCAGCGCAATTACATGATGGGCCAAATGGGCCTAAGACATATAATACGTCTAATGGTACTTTTTTTTCATGAAAAAGTCATTTATATTATATATAATTAATTAAAATATTTAAATAATCAGGATAATTAAATTCAATTCTCTCATTTTACTCATAGAATTTATGTTAAAAATGTAATTGTTCCAATACTATATATCATAGAATTTTCGTTAATTCATGGTTTTCGGTGACAGGGAAACATTGAATTGAATAATTAGCAAATAAATTGATGTCCTGTCAAAGAAAACTCTGCAGAAAATGCATTTCAGTACTGAGCCTGTGGCTCTAGGTAGATTTTCTTTCCTTCAAACAATGTTCTTAAAGGTGCAAAAATTATAGCTACTTGAAATATCATTATATTCTGTATGCTTGGGTTATTTCAAATTTCTGTGGGATAATTTTTATTTATTATATACTACTTTGAGAGTACTTCTTGATAGCCTTGATAACTTCCCTGGATTTAAACAACCATCAGAAAATATGCAAGGATTTTTGTATTTCTTAATGGTATTTATACAGTTATCTGCTAACACTGAGTTCTGATATTGCTGTTAACATTTATACAGAATTTAATCAATTTCTTTAATTTCCTGTTTGATATACGTGTTATGTCATCTGTTTAAACGGGAGGCCTACAGCGACACGACTGGTTTAGAGATAGTGGAGATGATGGATATGACTTCTTAGATATTAGAGATTATGATGTTGCAGCCCTGGCAAATAACTGGAGCCATGCCTTTCCATATGGCATTAACAGCAGTTATGAGATTGAAGAGGTGCTTAATTTTTAGAAATTTTCCGGTTTCTAGTCCAATTGCAGTACAGTAATATTCATGTTGGATCTTTTGCAACAGAATTATCGCAAGACAGAAAACGTTTTCTTGTAGTGAGACCTGTGTTAGTGCTAACCTTCATGTTGTTTTATTTCAGACTCTAAGTACTAGGCAGAATACTCATTCTCAACAGATTGTTGGATCCGTGGAGATTGGAGACTCCTACAGCATAGAACCAGATAATAGCAATTTTGATAGCCGGAGGCGAAAGGTTCAAAAAGCAGTAGAAATTAAAATATCAATTAATTTCATCTGACACCCGTTTTTTTAAGAAAGTACTACAAATATATTTTCAGAGGGGTTTTGATGCTTTTTAAGGAAATTTCCCTCAAAAAATATATTGTAATAGAATTACATTTTTTTATGAAGCTATTTATTTCTTCAAGTTATTGTTTTAGTATCTAATCCAGCAAGATAATCATTAATTCCCTTTTTCGTTTCTGTACAGGTTTCTTTAGAGTGGATCTTTGCAATCTCCAATTTCATTCTGGAGCTTCCCTCAGTAGTACTCGATCAACTTTCATCAGCGCATAAGCCTCAATACACACTATTTGCTATGCTACTATCATTTTCAGCCTTGTTTATATGCATTACTGAGCTCATTTATAAAGGTCGAAAGGAAAAAATTATCTGCAGATGGAGGGGTTGTCTCCCTTGGTTTTATAATGCATCACAAAATTACAAGCCTTTTGGTACCTTCAAGGATACCGTTGGGTCTCTTTGTGCTCTCTGTCAGTGTGTTTTCACAACTGTTAATTATGCACAAGCTGATACTATCAAAATATCAGTTTGGCCTGTTATCTTTGCTTTTGGTCTATTATGGTCTAAAATGTTGGAGAATCCCGAGAGAAGAACTGCAGTGTAAAGCTCTTATCCAATTTCCTGAGGAGTGGAAAGTCCAAGATGAGAATCCTCCGGAAAAGCTAAACTATTTACAGCAACTTTTTGATGTTCATAAAAATTCCAGTGCAAACGTCTGAATATTTTGCCTTAAAATATGTACCAAAAGTTCCCTGAATATTTTGGCTTATCTGTTCAAATCATCCATTATCCTGAGTATTTACTGTCAATCTAATTTATTTAAAAATGATAAAAAGCATGGTTTTGAACTTTAAAATGATAATTTAACCACAGTTAGGACTGTCAGTTGAGCTGAGCGGCTCGCAAGCTGGCTCGTCTCGACTCGGCTAGAGCTCGTCTAGAGCTCGACTCGGCAATTATCAAGTCGACTCGGCTCGAACTCAGTTTATTAACCGAGTCGAGTTTGAACATAGTGAAGCTCGGCTCGTGGGCTCGCGAACCTAGTCCGGCTCGTGTATACACTGTGCCCTTACACAGGGTGCTTTGGTATTTCTTAAACCATGAGGTATTAAACTGATATTTTTCAGTGAAAAAACTTTAAAAAATGACAGTTACGCCCCCAAAGTGCAAAATCGTATAACAAAGAACGATTATCCCCAAATCAATTTCAATTGCCCACTTGCCCTAATTCCAAATCGCAAATAAAGAACCCTAACCCGCGAACCAGACACCAGTCCTCGCCGTGAAATCAGTCATCTCCGTTGCCATCTCCGATCAAACAGGAAAAAGAGTCACACAAACCCCCAAATCGCGAAATCGCACCAGCCAGTAGCCGACTGCTCACCACCGTGAAATCGACTGCCTGAAATCGCAGACACACACCAGCCACCACCTTGAAACTGCCAGGCAGGAACGAGGTATGGTGCCGTTGTTGTAACTTGTAATCTTTGAGATTTGTTTGCCGAATCTTAGGGCCCAGGTAATCTTTCACAGGAAGAGTACTGTAAAAAATGGGAAATTGGCTCACGAGCCAGCTCGAACTCGACCGAGCTCGAGTTCGAGTCTCCATTCTGAGGCTCGCCAGGCTCGAGCTCGACCCTGTAGTAAACAAGCCGAGCTCGATAAGCCAAAAGCTCGGCTCGGCTCGGCTCGTTTGCAGTCCTAACCACAATCCTCTCAGAACACAACAAAAAACTAAAGCGGCCAAGGACAATCATGAAAGCAAAAGCGATAGCAAGAGATTATTATTAAATTAAAAAAATATATGAAAAATATCACAAGCACTACAATCGACAGGGAAGACTGAGTGCCTTTAAAAAGAGCACCTCAATCAAAACGAAGACACTAAAATTTCTGTATCCAAGCATATTCCTTCAAAAATCTGTTCTGTTTTTACCCAACATCAAGGAAAACCAGCATCAAATCTTTCTCCGATCATCTGAAACAAGAGTTTCCTGGTAAGTTTTCTTGATCTTTTTCACTTTAGGCAAATACTTATATTATTTCTTGCTATATATATCCTTTCCTTGCTAATAAACAATATAACATGTCAAGTTACTTAGAAGGAAAGGATTGGGAACTTCCAAAAGTTTCGAAAAAAGAAATTTATGGAACAAAAACCAGCATTTTCAATTTCAAAAAAGATCATTCCTTCAAAACTACTGAGGATACCATTTTACTACCCCACGGGAAACAACCAATTCAATTGTTCAATCCAGAGGCCATTGAAAAACATAAAAAAAAATACAAATTCTTGCATATTGGATTAGTCCAGGTTGGTGTCAGATCCCTCTCTCGCGAGGATCACGAAGCATCAGTTTTGCTCTGCCTGAGAGATAAGAGAATACTTGATTTTGATTCTTCCATATTAAGTGTTCTTGAATCTACTCTAGCTGATGGCCCGGTTCATTTTCATTATTATCCAAACATGATCGTTTCTCTTGAAGATCCAAAAATTTTGCAAGTTCTATCCCTCTATATTAAGTTTAACAATTTGGAAATACAAGGGACTACTTTTCCATTTGTGCTGATGTATAGAGTTCATTACAAATGTATGCAAAACCCAATTAACTCCGGCGCCAAAAGATCTAGCCACGTTGGTGAAACCACTTTTCAGAAAACAAAGGTTAGAATACCAACCAACGTCATTGTTTGGTCCCTTTTTGGTCTACAAACTGACAGAATTGAGCCAACTGTGGAATCCGAAACCATTAAATGGAGTGATGTCCGATTCCCTGAGGAATGGAAACTCCGAGATGAAAATCCTCCAGAGTCACCGGAATATTCATATCCTCCAAGGATGGAGTTTCAGGGTGGCTTTCGGCCGCAGTTCTGAAACGTCAGAGTACTGCTATACAATTCAAGTTTGTATACTAATTTTTGCATACCAAATGTGCCTCACTATGCAAAATTTTGGGATAAAAACTTGGGATATATAGCTTTATCCATCTTTCCGCACATCTATAAAGCAAAAATCTATGCACAAAAAAGCAAAATGGAAATGATTCACAAGCCTGACAGTGAAGATCATCCCCAGCAGAAAGGAGGAGGATGTAGCAGTCTTAAGAGAGAATTTGGTCTAAGACTAATGAATTGAATATAGTTTGTTTATATTTTATGTCTTAATCACGTATCAGAAACCATCTGTATCATAAGTTTCCTAGTGTGCTTGCCTGTAAGTTTGCTCAAATTTCCCTTTTATGAAAGTATTTTTTCTGTTTTTCCATGTAAGTTTGCTCAAATTTCTCTGTTATGAAAGTTTTTTTTTTTTTTTTTGTCCTGTTTTTCGATGTTATATATATAAGATTACTGTTGTTAGTTTGCTCAATTTTTTTTTTTCCAAATACCTTTAAAAAGGAATTCAATGTAGGCCCTTTCTTAGTAATAGATATGATAAGGAAAGGGTAGAAGAAAACTTTATTTCAACTACAATGTCGCCAACGATGATGATGCAGAAAATGTGCTAGCAATATTATGCTTTGAAGATGATTCAAGTCTCAAATGGGATCTATATCCATTAATAGAAGTCCAAACACTCCTCCAAAAGCAGAAACCAATGAGCTAATTACTACAGTAATAAACAAAAGACTAAAGCAGCTGGCCTGGGAAAGGATAATCATAATTAAGCAGAAGACTTGAAAAAGCAACAAGAAAATGATCGTATAATTTCTGAATTAAGAACTTAAAATATGTAATTTTCCTCATCTAATTTATTAGAGCCTAAAGGTTCTACATCAGAAACAATTTGCTAGATGTCCCATATAAGATTTTGATAACATATAACGATATTTTGATTAGATATAATATTTTATGATACGTTATTTTTTATCAAATAGTGGTAACCATGAAGGATATAATCATGAAAGGACTTTTCGACAATAAAAGAAAACACTTAAAAACAAGTCGAGCCTTCTACAAGAAGTCATCTTTTTAAAAGTAGAACCCCTTCTTAAACAAGTTGACTGAGAAAATGACAAATATTTAACTCAAAAAACAAAAGCAAAAGGGCAAGTGGACACAAACCTTTAATTCAAAAAGCAAAAGCCCTGCCAAAACAGTTAACTCAGAAAGCGACACAAACATCACAAGCACATAAGATAAGATTGTCTTGATCCTTGGTTCTATAATGCATCGCAAAATTACAACCCTTTTGGTTACCTTAAAGGATACTTGGTTTTCAAACTGGAGAATAGAAAGGAAAGATGTTTATGAACGAAAGTTTTTTTTCAGAGACAAGTTTACTGGAATTGTATTGTCACACTTTCATTAGCATAAACAAAGATTATATACAGACACTTTACATCATCATTTATATCCTTGATGTACTAACTCTTGCAGAGAAATGATTACTTAGCTAATCTATAGAGATTTTTCTAAAACATTACGTAGAGCCACATAATCTTAACTAACACAAAATATGTCAGATTTTACAATCCTAAAAATCAGCTAAACTACTCGAGGTAGTTAACCAAAACTCTGACACAACCGCTTCCAGATCGGCTTAATTTGAACCTCGACCTCTTTCAGTCGCATACTGCATCAGATAGCATGCACTTTAGTTTGCATGCATTCCTGCTTTCATCGCTTCTAGGTCGCATTTGAATACATCTATCTACAGCTCACATCCATCTACAGATCACAAGTATGCAGATCGCGCAAGCATTTAGATCGTATTAACACGCCTCCAGCAGGATATCACTTGCATTAACACTCCTCCTTGATATCTTTACTGGAAATACCAAGTTTAAGTCTCAATTCTTCAAACTTGGATTTGTTTAATGTCTTAGTTAAAATATTAGCTATTTGTTCTTCAAATTGAGAATGAACGATCTTAACTTCTTTGTTCTGCTTGACTTCTCTAACAGCATGAAACTCTATCTTTATGTGCTTTGTTCGATCATGAAGAATGGGATTCTTTGCCATGGCAACAGTCGACTGATTATCATAAAAGATTATAAGAGGATCACATCGTTTCAGCTTCATATCCTGCAAAAAATTTCTTAGCCAAATCACTTGATTCATTGCAGCAGCTGCAAAGATGTATTCTGCTTCTGCAGTGGATTGGACCACAGTTTCCTGCTTCTTGGATAACCAACTAAAAGCTCTTGAGTTTAAGAAAAACACATAACCAAATGTGCTTCTCATATCTTCAACTAATCCAGCCCAATCACTATCTGTATATCTGACCAGGTTAAATTGTTGAAATTTAATAATAAATCGGCAGCAAAATAGTGGAAGAATAGCAACAAAACAGCAGTGAAATAGTAGGAAAACAGCAAAAAAAAAAAAAAAAATAGAGAGACAACAACAATGTAGTAGTGAAACAGCAACAAACACAGCAGTGAAATAGTAGCAAAACAGCAATGATACAACAGCGTCAAGGCGTGCAAAAGCACTTTCCTTAAGATCAAAATTCCGCCCCTACTAGAAGAATCTTCGTGGTGCAAAAAGGCTCAACAACGGACTGACCTCCAAGATACAATGACAAACCCTTTTTAGAGTGCACACTCTAATGGAGATTTAGAACAATAATAGAGAAGTAAACGAGTAGTGATGATATGATAT